TGTTTAACCACCTCCCGTCCGGCCACTGCATATAAACAGCCAGATGGTGGCAGTGCAGGATTGGGGGGCGGTTTATAAACGGCCTCCCCCCCCCCTGCTTGTGCGCGCTCCCTGGGAGCATACAGCACCGCGATCCGGTGCCCGCTGTGTCCTTCAATGGAACACCGATCGTCGTACATGACCTCTGTGTGAGGTCCCGATCATATGATCACTGATTGGCCAATCAGTGATCACATGCAGAGTAGCAAGCGAGATGTCACTTCTGACATCATTGCATACTACGTGTGAAATCTGTGAATGATCACAGAGGTCACATGGTACAGGGCTATTCACAACAGCCTTGTACCATGTGACAAGCTGTGACCAATCACAGCTCACACAGTATTTCTCAATGGCTGCAAGAATGCAGCCAGAGAGGAGAAGACTGTTTTTACAGCCTTTATGTTGAAAAAAAAAACCCAAATCTTCATCACCCCAAGTGGTACAGTGTCACCATGGTGACACTGTACTGCTAGGGTGACAGTATGTAAAAAAAGAAAAAAAATATAAAAAGAAATAAAAATGTAAAAAATTTTTTTTTAAAAGATTGTAATTTTTGGTTATAAACTAATTTGGGTTATTTTTTTTTACTAAAAAGATAACTGAATACATTTTGGCCAAGATTTAAGATGAAATATTATTTATTTGCAAAATTTTATAAGAAAAATACTTTTTTTCAACTTTTTTTTTGGACATTTTCATTTATATAGCAAAAAAAAAAAATAAATAAAAATCCCGGAGGTGAGAAAATACCACCACAATAGCTTTAATTGTCTAAAAAAAATGCTAACAGGAAGGGGGTGGAAGTGTTCAGACATGAAGTGGTTAATATTAATTAAAACATATATAGCCAAACGCCCACTCACTTATTCCAAGTATAAAACAAGCTGAAGCAAAACCTCATGCTATGGGTGTACTTGCGTGGGTTTATTGGGTGTAGCAAGATGGCGCCCATGCCGGAAATAACTCACCACGTTCCTACGCGTTACATCTTATCACGTGACTTCCTCAGGGTCTTCATCACCAGGAAACACCCATAAACACCACAGAGCGTTCCCCCCCCACAAACACCACACAGCGTTCCCCCCATAAACACCACAGAGCGTTCCCCCCATAAACACCACAGAGCGTTCCCCCCATAAACACCACAGAGCGTTCCCCCCATAAACACACCACACAGAGCGTTCCCCCCCATAAACACCACAGAGCGTTCCCCCCATAAACACACAGCGTCCCCCCATAAACACCACAGAGCGTTCCCCCCATAAACACCACAGAGCGTTCCCCCCATAAACACCACAGAGCGTTCCCCCATAAACACACAGAGCGTTCCCCCCATAAACACCACAGAGCGTTCCCCCATAAACACCACACAGAGCGTTCCCCCCATAAACACCACAGAGCGTTCCCCCCATAAACACCACACAGCGTTCCCCCCATAAACACCACAGAGCGTTCCCCCCCCCATAAACACCACAGAGCGTTCCCCCCATAAACACCACAGAGCGTTCCCCCCCATAAACACCACAGAGCGTTCCCCCATAAACGCCACAGAGCGCTCCCCCCATAAACACCACACAGCGTTCCCCCCATAAACACCACAGAGCGTTCCCCCCATAAACACCACAGAGCGCTCCCCCCATAAACGCCACACAGAGCGTTTCCCCCCATAAACGCCACAGAGCGTTCCCCCCATAAACACCACAGAGCGTTCCCCCCATAAACACCACAGAGCGTTCCCCCCATAAACACCACAGAGCGTTCCCCCCATAAACACCACAGAGCGTTCCCCCCATAAACGCCACACAGCGTTCCCCCCATAAACACCACACAGCGTTCCCTCCTCACATACCTCAGCTACACCAGTGGACAGCATCTGGTCGGTTTAGCGGCAAACTCAAAATGCCATGGAAACCGGTATCCCCGAAGCAACTGCGCATGTGCCAGTGTAGCCGTGACATGAGTATCCAGTGCAGGTAGCTATGCCTTGTATGAAGTGCGCATGCGCAGGTTTCAGGCAGAATAAGCCGATCGCCGCATTGCGCGTTTAGTACAGAGCTGCCACAGTTACCCCCCTACAGGCTGCAATCCGCTGAAGAACAGGCTGCAAGATGGATCGGGGATCATAAAGGATCGGGGAGAGGACAGTGTCAATGACATGTGGAGGAGGGGCAGTGTCAGTGATATGGGGGTGAAGTGACATGACATGGGGCAGTTACATGACATAGGGGGGCAGTGTCAGTGATATGGGGGGGGGGGCGTCAGTGACATGGGGGGGCAGTTGCAGTGACATGGGGGGGTGTCAGTGACATGGGGGAGGCAGTGAAATGACATGGGGGGGGCAGTGAAATGACAAGGGGGGGGGGGTAGTGAAATGACATGGGGGGGGCAGTGACAAGGGGGGGGGGGGTAGTGAAATGACATGGGGTGGGCAGTGTCAGTGACATGGGGGAGGCAGTGGGGGGGGGGGGGGGGGGTAGTGAAATGACATGGGGGTGGGCAGTGTCAGTGACATGGGGGGGCAGTGACATGGGGGGGGGGGGTAGTGAAATGACATGGGGGGGTGGGCAGTGTGACATGGGGGGGCAGTGACATGACATGGGGGGGGCAGTGTCAGTGACATGGGGGGGGGGCAGTGTCAGTGACATGGGGGGGGGCAGTGTCAGTGACATGGGGGGGCAGTGACATGACATGGGGGGGGCAGTGACAGTGACATGACATGGGGGGGCAGTGTCAGTGACATGGGGGGGGGCAGTGTCAGTGACATGGGGGGGGGCAGGGGGGGGGCAGTGTCAGTGACATGGGGGGGGGCAGTGTCAGTGACATGGGGGGGGCAGTGTCAGTGACATGGGGGGGGGGCAGTGTCAGTGACATGGGGGGGGGGCAGTGTCAGTGACACCAGTACCAAGTGCAGTAGCATGTGTGCTGTGGTCTGGGCAGTGGCTCTCCTAACAGTTGGCAGGCGTGATCAGGATGTCGGGTCACGATCCATGTCAGATGGCCACGATTAACGGATAGATCACGATGGACGGTTTGCCGACCCCGAGCCCTAGACTGACCCCCCGCCCACGACTGAGCCCTAGACTGACCCCCCCCCCCGCCCACGACTGAGCCCTAGACTGGTCCCCCGCCCATACGTTTTGCATTTTGAATCTGCCCAGCAACAAGTCCCAAAAAAATTAGCGGATAAAAACACAAAACGCATAAAAAAAGCACATCAAAAACCCACCGCAAAAAGCCTGCAGAATCGGATCCAACGCAAACTGCATAGGTGTGAACCGAGCCTTAGCAGGTAAGGGGGGTATTCCCAGCGGCCCCTTCGGGGGGGGGGGGACATCACATCACATTAGATACGGTATGTTATGTTGAATAAAATATTGTTTTAACTTCATCCAAAAGACTTGCCTGATGATTTGTTGCTCGCACATCCAGCCATGTTCTGCGGACGGGAGCCACTGTAGGCAAAGCAACGTATCCGTACATCACCACCTACTTCTGCATGCATGCCGGGGAAGGGGGGGTATGCATGTGTGAATCACTGGTGGGGACTTGCTGACAGGCCCCCTCTGTGTACAATCACAGCGGGTGCTGGGCTGGGGGGGGAGGGATATTGTACACACGGAGTCTTGTCAGCAAGTCCCGGCCAATGATTCACGGTTGGGACCTGCTGTCCAATCACGGCACACAGCACTGTGTTGGTAAACAACACAGAGTTCTGAACCAAGAGAGTGAGATGAGAAACTCAGAGATCTAGCAGTAAAAGCAGCAAACTCTACACACATTACACATTTAACCCCTTGATCACCCTAAATGTTAACCCCTTCCCAGCCAGTGTCATTAGTACAGTGTATAGTATTATCACTGATCACTGTATGAGTGCCGTTGGTGATGTCAGTGGCAGTTAAATTGTAAAATTATTCTTTCAAAGTCAGAGATATTGAATATTAATTTACCGAAGGCAGAAAGACAGGCAATACAGGGAAAGTTTCCTTTTACATGGAGGGATAAAGAAACTAGGAGTTAAGTTAGCCCCGTCATTGAAGGGTATATGTTGTGCAAACGATATCCCGTTAATGAGATAAAGGAGGAATTGAGGAAAATTTCAAAAGGATCACATTCTTGGATAGGCCGAATAAATACGGTTACGATGGTGATATTTCCTAAAATCCTAAATACATTTCACTCCAAAGACAAGCTGGGAGGTGAATTGTCTCCTGTCTAAATTGTCCCTAGTATGTGTATGTATGAATGTGAGTTAGGGACCTAGATTGTACCCCTTGAGGGTTAGGGACCTTAGATTGTACCCCTTGAGGGTTAGGGACCTTAGATTGTGTACACCCCTTGAGGGTTAGGGACCTTAGATTGTACGCTCCTTGAGGGTTAGGGACCTGTAGACCCTTGAGGGTTAGGGCTCTTAGATTGTACGCCCCTTGAGGGTTAGGGACTGATGTGAATGTACAATATATATGGAAAGCGCAGAGTAAATTGACGGCGTTATATACCTGAAATAATAATATCAAATGCTACCGATATATTTGCCGCAGGTGTACTTCAGGGTCTGGAAAAGAATGATAATGAGATACATACGGGCAAATAAAAAAAAACAAGGGTTAATCAGGAGGTTTTATGTAAAGATAAAATAAATGGCGGTTTAACCGCCTCCCGCCCGCCATATAAGGAAATAACGGGCGCAATGCGGTTCTCTCATTCTCTAACCGTGTTTCTGTGCCCCCGGGGGGCGCGCAGCACTGCGATCTGTGGTGCGCTGTGTACCTGGGACACAGCGGATCATTGGTCAACGGAAGGAGCCCAAGACGTAGGCTCTGTCATGTGATCAGCTGTGTCCAATCACAGCTGATCACATGTAAATAAGGAAATGTCGGTTATCGGCATTTCTCTCCTTACCAGCTGTCACGCTGACAGAGGAGAGGAGAGACGGTAATCGGCATTCCTCAGAGGGGACATGTACACTGATCATCAGGAGACTGATGATCAGTGTAGCCCCATTAGTGCCACCGCCAGTGTCCATCAGTGCCACATATCAGTGCCTACCAGTGCACATCAATGCCACATATCAGTGCCCATCTGAGCTGCCTTTCAGTGCCACCTATCAATGCCAGTCAGTGCCGCCTATAAGTGCCACCTAACAGTGTCAGTCAGTGCCGCCTATCCAGTGCCATATATGAGTGCTGTCTTTCAGTGCCCATCAGTGCCATCTACCAGTGCCTCCTCATCAGTGCCTCCTCATCAGTGCCAGTCAGTGCTGCCTATAAGTGCCCTTCAGTGCAGCCTCATTAGCGCACATCAGTGAAGGAGAAAAATCACTTATTTACAAGATTTTATAACAGAAACTTAGAAAAAACGTTTTTTTTTTTTTTTTTAACATTTTCAGTTGTTTTTGGTTGGTTTACAAAAAAAAAAAAAACCCGAGGTGATGACATACCACCAAAAGAAAGCTCTGTCTAAAAAAAAATGATAATAATTTCATATGGATACAGTGTTGCATGACTGTACAATTGTCAAAGTGCGACAGCGCTAAAAGCTGAAAATTGGCCTGGGCAGGAAGGGGGTATAAGTGCCCGGTAGGCGAGGGGTTAAATATTATTTTGCAGTATTATTGTCATGAATAATGGAATGGGTTTATAATTCACACGGGAAAAGTTTGGTAAAGATTGAAAAAAAACACTAAGTGAGGCACAATTAGATGAAATGATATGGATTCCAGAACAATATCGTACGTTTGCTGAAAATACTAGCAATTGAACCCGGAATGTCTTTAGGGTATGGGATGTAATTCAGAAACAAAGGGGATGGGGGTATAATTCTCCAGTAGTAGGAACAAAATATTTGACACCAGGGGAGAATATTATATCAGGAATGTGGCGAAAGAGACAGGAATGCATGAAATATGTTCTCTTCAGGAGTTGAAACACAAAAGGGATGAGTTTTCTGTGATGGATGAAAGGCGGTATTATCAACGTAAACATTTTGTTGCAGCACTCCCACAGCTAATAAAAGCGGTTGAAAATTTGTACCCATTAGAGCATTTGATGACTTTAGAAGGAATACAAAAACTTTGCAATTTGCGTACGTATATTATTATTTTACAGGATTTATATGGCACCAACAGTTTGCTCAGCGCTTTACAATATAACGGGAGACAATACAGCAGCAATACAGTTCAATACAAGAGGGATAGGAGGGCCCTGATCCTTGGAGCTTACAATCTAAGAGGGAGGGGCTGGTGGTACAAAAGGTAGTAACTGTGGGGGATGGACTGGTAGGATGAGGAGAAGATTCCATTATTAGCTGAGGGTAGGATAGGCTTCCCTGAAGAGATCGGTTTTCAGAGATCACCTAAAAGTGGGCAGAGTAGGCGATAGTCTGATAAATTGGGGTAGAGGGTTCCAGAGGATGGTGGAAGCTCCGGAGATGAGCATGGGAGGAGGAGACAAGGGAACTAGAGAGCAGGAGGTCTTGCGAGGAGCGGAGAGTACGGTTTGTGTGATATCTGGAGACAAGATTGGTGATGTAATTTGGGGCAGAGTTGTAAATGGCTTTATATGTTATTGTTAATGTTTTGAATTTTATCCGTTGGGCAATGGAAAGCCAGTGGAGGGATTGGAAGAGGGGGATGGAGGACACTGAGTGAAGGCCAGTGGAGGGATTGGAAGAGGGGGATGGAGGACACTGAGTGAAGGCCAGTGGAGGGATTGGCAGAGAGGGATGGAGGACACTGAGTGGAAGCCAGTGGAGGGATTGGAAGAGAGGGATGGAGGACACTGAGTGGAGGCCAGTGGAGGGATTGGAAGAGAGGGATGGAGGACACTGAGTGGAAGCCAGTGGAGGGATTGGAAGAGAGGGATGGAGGACACTGAGTGGAGGCCAGTGGAGGGATTGGCAGAGAGGGGTGGAGGCCAGTGGAGGGATTGGCAGAGAGGGAAGGAGAATACTGAATGGAGGCCAGTGGAGGGATTGGCAGAGAGAAATGGAGGACACTGAGTGGAGGCCAGTGGAGGGATTGGCAGAGAGGGGTGGAGGACACTGAGTGGAGGCCAATGGAGGGATTGGCAGAGAGGGATGGCAGATACGGAACGGTTAGTAAGGTGGATGAGTCTGGCAGCAGCATTCATGACAGACTGAAGAGGGGACAGCCTGCGATGAGGTCGGCCAATGAGGAGGGAGTTACAATAGTCAAGGCGAGATATAACAAGGGAGGGTATAAGTTGCTTAGTGGTTTCCGAGGTTAGGAACGGGCGTATCTTGGAGATGTTGCGGAGGGGAAGTCTACAAGATTTGGACAGTGATTGGATTTGGGGCTGAAAGGACAGATGGGAGTCTAGGATTACACCTAGTACCCTGGCATGAGGGGAGGGACTGATTGTTGTGTTATTGATCTTGATGGAGAAGTCAGGGGAGGGGGCACAGGCTGGGGAGAATACTAAGAGCTCAGTTTTGGAAAGATTGAGTTTGAGGAAGTGGAGTGACATCCATGCCGATATGTCGCTTAGATGGTTAGTAATGCGAGAGGAGACTGAAGGGGTGAGGTGAGGAGGAGACTGAAGGGGTGAGGTGAGGGATAGAGAGATAGATTTGTGTGTATATGGTACTTAATATAATATCTGAACCGTCTTACCACCATATATGGAGAAATGGGAAAAGGAGTTAAGAACACAGCTGAATGAGCAACAGAAAAAGAAAACGTTTAGAATTGTACATGGGGCAACTGATATGAATACAGTTGAGATGAACTATGAACTCCTGACAAGATGGTAGGTCACGCCTAGTAGAGTTCATAAGTATCACCCAGAGAATTCCTTACTTTGTTGGAGGGGATGTGGGATAAAGGGTACAATGGCACACATTTGGTGGGAATGTCCCAGAATACAGGAATTTTGGCAGATGATAGTACAACAAATATCAGAAATTGTAGAGAGAAAGTATAATAATGGACCCATGGGTGTGTTTATTTCATAACACGGATCTCACAGTAAAACAATAATAAATCACAATTGTATTTCATTTAATTAATGCAGTAAAAGGATCGATCCCTAAATTCTGGAAGGTCCCAGAAACACCTAAAGTTAAAGACTGGATAAAGAGGGTAGAATATATATATAGCAAAGAAGAACTATACCACAGTGGAGAAGATAAAATAGGAAAATGTATAAAAACCTGGGAAAGGTGGTGTGAATATAGGACTACACAGAGATATGTTGAACAGACGGAGTAGAGGGAAAAAGGGAATGATAAGAGGGAGGAATAGGGCGATAAAGAGGGAGGAATAGGGCGATAAAGAGGGAGGAATAGGGCGATAAAGAGGGAGGAATAGGGCGATAAAGAGGGAGGAATAGGGCGATAAAGAGGGAGGAATAGGGCGATAAAGAGGTATAATAAATGGTGGAGATGGAGCATTAGTGAAATAAGAAGAGAGAAGAGGAAAGGAGAGTACAGGGGGAGGGGAGGCTAAAATTAAAATTATAAAAGAGTAATAGATGATTATGGATTAGTGTTCTGTTAGATTTTGAAAAATGTAATCAATAAATATATATTATTAAAAAAAAAAAGGCAGTTCCTCTATGTGCAATTGATAGCCCCTGCGTGGGCGTGATTTTGTTGTTATAACTTAACCCCTCGCCTACCGGGCACTTATACCCCCTTCCTTACCGTTGATTGACAATTATCATGCAAATTGTACCCATATGAAAAATTTTTTTCTCACAAATACATTCGCCACTGGGAATAAATTAAAAAAAAAAAAAAAAAAAAAAAAAAGTTTATTTGTTTCTTTGTATAAAAAAACAGGTATTTTTTCTCCTTACTTTTTGGGTTGACAGCATGATGGGCACTGATAGGCGGCTGATCAATAGGCAGTTAAAGGTGGCACGGTAGGCGCTAATAGTGACAAATAGAGCAAATAAAATTGCCCTGGTTACTGACTGGGGGGCACAAAAACCTCCCAGCACTGGTGGGTGGCAGAGGCGTAGCTACTGGTGGGCACAGGGGTGGGTGGCACTGCTGGGCACATGTACTTCTGGGCACAGGTAGGTGGCACTGTAGAGTGGCACAGGTGGGGGCACTGCTGGGCACAGGTGGGGGCACTGCTGGGAATGGGGTGGGCGGGGAAGTGGGCGCACTGCTGATCGGAAATGCGGGGGTCACTGCTGCACACGATCATCAGGGCACTGATCATCAGTGCCCTGATGATCGGTGCCGATCCCCGCTCTGACAACTGCCGGTTCTCGGCAGTACTTTCCTCACGATGAGCGTGAGGAAAGTGCAGCCGAGAACCGGCACTTGTATTTCCCTGTGATCAGCGTGCATTGGCAGCTGCGTGGTAAAAGCGGTGGGAGCCTTTCACCATCGTGATCATCCGTGATATCGCCGGGGTGCTGCCCCCTCGCAGGAGAGCGCGTGGAGGAGTCATATGAGTCCACTCAGAACTGGCCGGCCGCGGTGAAGCCGTCTTTCGGCTATGCGCGGTCGGCTAGTGGTTAATAAAAACCATTGAAATACAAAAAAAAAAAAAAAGGAAGGTCTATTTGTGTAAAAAAATAATTATATAAATTTAGTTTGGGTACAGCATTGCATGACCGCTCAATTACCAGTTAAAGTAGCGCAGTGACAAATAGCAAAAAAATTGCCCTGGTTAAGAAGGGGGTAAAACCTCCCGGAGCCAGAGGCGTAGCTAGGGGGGGGGCAGGGGGGTACATATGTACCTGGACGCCAAGGTGCAGGGGCGCCAAAATGAGGTCACAAGATCACTGCAGCAGCTGCAGCAGACATGTCATCTGATACGTCTGCCATCCACAGTGAGTTATGAGAGAGAGGAGCCGGCTGGGAGAGGAGCGGAGAGGAGGGCAGTAAGCCGGGAATGTGCTGGAGGGGACAAGGGGAGAGCCAAGCCGGAGGAGTAGTGCCATGGATGAGGGGGGGGGGGGGGGGCAATGTGATCGGGAGGGGGGGGGGGTGTCTACAGGAACCATATGAAGTGGGGGGGGTGTCTACAGGAACCATATGAAGTGGGGGGGGGGGGTGTCTACAGGAACCACAGGAACCATATGAAGCGGGGGGGGGGGGGGTGTCACGAGGTGGCTGTTCGTCCCCAGGCGCAAACTATCCCAGCTACGCCTCTGCCCGGAGGTGAAGTGGTTAAATTATTGTGGTTTCGGATAACAGCCTCTGGTATATAGCGCCCCCTATGGGGATCACTAAAGCAGATTGTTTTAATGTTCTGGTAAGGTGCATTTCTCCCCATAAATTGTTTTTTAGAAAGACCTGAACATTATTTTAAGGACAAGATAAAACGTTTTAGAAACGGAAAGTCATCCCACGGCCTGGATAAATTAGATCCTTCACAGAGCAGAAGTCATTATTACACTCGTAATTGGTGCTAATGAAACAAAAATTCAACCCAGATACACAAATATACTGTTTTTTAATAAAATAACAGCAATGGTGAGTTCAGATTTGCTCAGGAATATAAATACTTCCCTCACTTTTGAGGGCGATAGCAGAAATGGGGTGGGAGAAGAAGGTAGGAGAAGAAAGAAAAAAAATCTGCCACTTTTGCTGGACAGCTTGGAAAGTTAGACAGCAGGAAGCAGAAAAAAAAAAACCAATCTACTGGCTGGCAGGATCAACAGGTAACATCACCATCTTACACTTAATGTGTCAATGTGGTTAAAGTGTTACTAAACCTACAACAGTAAAATCACTTCAGAAAAGCACGCTTGTTATACTCACTGTGGAATCTAAGGGGTTAACCCTCTGCATTGTGTAAAAGGGCTGTTTGATCCTGTCTTCTCTGATCCTCCCCTTCTTCTACTGTCCCCAATCCATCTGCTGATAGTACAGAGCTCTAGGAGTCACTCTGCACATGCTTAGTTTGGTGTGTATTGCTAGAAAGTTTTCTTTTCTTTCGGAGGCTGCATGTGATTAGCACAGGTCCAAACAGAAGGTCAAGGGTTATGCAGCCTCATAGGACAGTAGGAGAATGAAACATACCTCCTATATTACGATTAACCAGTGCTCAGCTGGACACTGATAAATGTCACAAGTGCATAAATGCTGATAAATATTTAAAAAAAAAAAAGAAAAATATGTACTAAAAATAATTGCAGTTTCCATGTTCTGTGTACTGTGGGAGACCAGATAGTGTGAATCAAGAACATAGTGTCCTTTTAGGGAGACCGGATATAGTGAATTCATGCGGGTCCGGGGAGACCGGATATAGTGAATGCAGGTTGTGGGGAGACCGGATCTTAGTGCATGGCTAAAGGTCCGGGGAGAGAGCGGATATTGTGAATGCGGGGTCCAGGGGAGACCGGATATTGTGAATGCAGGGGTCTGGGGAGACCGGATATTGTGAATGCGGGCCCCCAGTCAGTCGGGGAGACCGGATATAGTGAATGCGGGAGTCCGGGGAGACCGTGATATAGTGAATGCGGGGTCCGGGGAGACCGGATATAGTTAATGCCGGTTGCAGAGATTCGGATCCTCACTGATGCGGGGTGGGGGTGTACTGTGAATGCGGGGTCTCGGGGAGAGCGGATATAGTGAATGCAGGGTCCGGGGAGAGCGGATAGAGTGAATGCGGGGTCCGGGGAGACCGGATATAGTGAATGCAGGGTCCGGGGAGACCGGATATAGTGAATGCGGGGTCCGGGGAGACCGGATATAGTGAATGCGGGGTCCGGGGAGACCAGATATAGTGAATGCGGGGTCCGGGGAGACCGGATATAGTGAATGCGGGGGGTCCGGGGAGAGCGGATATAGTGAATGCGGGGTCCGGGGAGAGCGGATATAGTGAATGCAGGGTCCGGGGAGAGCGGATATAGTGAATGCAGGGTCCGGGGAGACCAGATATAGTGAATGCAGGGTCCGGGGAGAGCGGATATAGTGAATGCAGGGTCCGGGGAGAGCAGATATAGTGAATGCAGGGTCCGGGGAGAGCAGATATAGTGAATGCAGGGTCCGGGGAGAGCAGATATAGTGAATGCAGGGTCCGGGGAGACCAGATATAGTGAATGCAGGGTCCGGGGAGACCAGATATAGTGAATGCAGGGTCCGGGGAGAGCGGATATAGTGAATGCAGGGTCCGGGGAGAGCGGATATTGTGAATGCGGGGTCCGGGGAGACCGGATATTGTGAATGTAGGGTCCGGGGAGACCGGATATAGTGAATGCAGGGTCCGGGGAGAGCGGATATAGTGAATGCAGGGTCCGGGGAGAGCGGATATAGTGAATGCGGGGTCCGGGGAGACCGGATATAGTGACTGCAGTGTCCGGGGAGAGTGGATATAGTGAATGCAGGGTCCGGGGTTGGACCTCTTAGGTGGAAGTTCTTTTAAAGAAACATTATGTTTGTTTATATTTACATAGGCTTTATTTACATCAAACAGGGAGGTGAGCGCATAGTAAAATCTTAATAAGGAGTCACAGAAATTCACCACTTATATTTTGGAGCACAGTATCAGTTTCCATTTGGGACTATCATTATATATTTATTCACAGAGACTTTTTGTGTATTGCTTATATTTAGATATATTAGCACTTTATGAGTATTTTCACAACTTCAGTTGCAGAATACAACACAGAAGATTAATCTGCTTGTCATGTTGACTGAATTTATATGCACTGAATTCTGAATATTTGAAATCTGATATTTAGCAGTTCGTTTATTATGAGGTTACAGTTTGATTATTAACACGCAGGAGATATTATCACTAATTCATTTACATTGAAGCGCGGCATTTTTTGAAATTTTTTTTAAATGATTCACACTAATTATGTATTAATTGGCATTATTTAATTAATATTATATAATTAACACAGATTTGGGAGCGCAACATTTACTGTTTTTTTTCTTTTTATACACATTGAATGAGGATGTGATCAATGTCAGCGAACCATATCACATTTTTTTTATAAATAAGTGGCTCACAAGTAATTATAAAAGGATACAGGAGAGATGGTCACAGACTGCAGACACGATACGGGAGAGGGTCACAGACTGCAGACACGATACGGGAGAGGGTCACAGACAGACACGATACGGGAGAGGGTCACAGAGACTGCAGACACGATACGGGAGAGGGTCACAGACTGCAGACACGATACGGGAGAGGGTCACAGACTGCAGACACGATACGGGAGAGGGTCACAGACTGCAGACACGATACGGGAGAGGGTCACAGACTGCGGACACGATACGGGAGAGGGTCACAGACTGCGGACACGATACGGGAGAGGGTCACAGACTGCGGACACGATACGGGAGAGGGTCACAGACTGCGGACACGGTACACGGTCACAGACTGCGGGACGGACGGGAGGGTCACAGACTGCGGACACGGTACGGGAGAGGGTCACAGACTGCGGACACGGTACGGGAGAGGGTCACAGACTGCGGACACGGTACGGGAGAGGGTCACAGACTGCGGACACGGTACGGGAGAGGGTCAGACTGCAGACACGGTAACGGGGGAGAGCGTCAGAGATTGCAGACGCGGTACGGGAGAGCGTCAGAGATTGCAGACGCGGTACGGGAGAGGGTCAGAGACTGCAGACGCGGTACGGGGAGAGGGTCAGAGACTGCAGACGCGGTACGGGAGAGGGTCAGAGACTGCAGACGCGGTACGGGAGAGGGTCAGAGACTGCAGACGCGGTACGGGAGAGGGTCAGAGACTGCAGACGCGGTACGGGAGAGGGTCAGAGACTGAAGACACGGTACGGGAGAGGGTCAGAGACTGAAGACATGATAGAGGAAATGAAAAACACAGAGGGCACCAATCTGGGTGTAGCATTCAGATGTGATTTATTAGAGACACAGTTGACAACTCACATGTTAGAAGTGAATCATGTACAGATCACTCTGCTGGTCACCAGAGAACCGCCATGTCCGGGGATTGCTGGAGGTATCCAGCTTGTCTCTGTTTTAGAGCTGCATGGAGCCCTTACAAGTGATCCTGAACCAGGAATCTGCCGACAGCCGGGGAACACAAGCTATCACCGACCAGAAGCAAGCTCCTCACTGGAGGTGCGAGGGCGTGGCTTAGGCGCTCCACAGCCGCCCACCTCCATTGTAAAAGGCTGAATAACAGCATCTATGGGGATCGGGTTATATAGCGGAGCATTGCCAGGATCACCTCTATATGGAGGGACAATCAATACAATAATAATCAAAAAAAAAAAAACATCAGTACTATGATGTGGAATTGATTCAAAGTTATTATTATACAGGATTTATATTATTATTATTATTATACAGGATTTATGGTGCCAACACTTTGCTCAGCACTTTACAATATAACGGGAGACAATACAGATCAATACAAGAGGGATAGGAGGGCCCTGATCCTGGGAGCTTACAATCTAAAAGGTTAAAGGAGTCTCCACTCTGAACAATAAATCAGAATGAATATTCATACAGAATGAAATGATCCCAAAAAATAATAAATCGTGAAGAACAAACTGATCAACAAATCATAAAATGAAAATGCATCCTCTGGAGGGCGAGGGGTTAATGATGAAGACGACGCCTGACTGTATCACCGCTCGGCTCTCACATATTCTGCCTGTGTCCCCGCCAATCAATCAGCATGCTAGAGGTTAAAAATGTGTCCCGCCGACCACTCGGCATGTTAGGGGTTAGTTGAGGTACATGCTCGGCTGTACAGCCCAGTGATCGGCTTGTCATGCCTGCGCATGCGCAGTTGCTTCAGGGAACACGGCTTTTCATAGGATACCTATTTCGCTGCTATACTGCGATGTCTTTAGAGTGCAGGTGATCCGGGAACCGGAAGTAACTGACAGGCCGTGAAACGCAAGCTTTTTCAGACCGTAACCGACGTCGCCTACGGAGCGCGTAGGGCGTGGCTTATATGTTTCGGAACTGCCCACCTCCTTTATAAAAGCCTGAGCAACATGGTCTATGGGGATCGGTTGATAAAGCGGAGCATTGCCGGTGTAGCGGCAAGATGAGTTCCCATTTCTGTGCTATGGATGGTGATCAGCGATCGTCTACCGCTGCCGAAAACCCTGACATGGCAGATGCGCAGGACACATCATGGGGGAACTCATCTTGCCGCTACACGGGTGCTCCCGCAAGATGGATAGAAGCATCATGGAAAGGAGAGAGGTCGGATGCAGTAGCTCTGTGATCGCTTGATCGCTTGATCGTGACATGCGCAGATGTGTCAAGGAGACATCTTCATTGGGGATCAGCTGTACACGGAGAGACATTCAATACAATGGAAATAAAAAAAATAAAAAAAAAATCAGTACTATGATGTGGAATTGATCCAAAGTAAAAGGAGTCTCCACTCTGAACAACAAATAATAATCAGTATTCATAAAGAATGAAATGATCCCAAAAACAACAAATCGGTAAAAAAATAATTATTAATCCAAAATAAAAAAAAAAAAAAAAAAAACTTTTTTAATCAAATGTATTGTAACTGGAAGTGTAATGAAGGGGTCTGAACAAAACATTGATGTGTATATATCTCAGAGCACATAATAAGACATCTGTATGAGAGGCAGAATATCCATCCTGAAACGGCCATCAAATGTCTCCAAAAAAGGGATGAAAAATAAAAGTAATAATAATATCATTAGGAGATCAGTCAAACAAAACGATCGAAAATGCACCTATATATATATATATATATATACACACAAAAACACGTAATCTCGACATATACACCAGGCTGAATGTTATACACATAATGATCATATCCCCCACAGAGAAGTAAATATAACAAAACAAATCTAAATCCATTTCTTTGTGGGAGGAATAGAATTATTAGGACTAAAACCCATCCCCCAACACACAGCCCCATCCTATGTCCTCCTCTCCAGGCTGCACTTGTCAGTAAATCCCAACCTTGGCTCTGAAATCTAACACAGTTCAATATAAAAAAAAAAAAAAATAAAACAAAAAAAAAAAAAAAAATGACTTCTGTCTATAGATTGCATTAAAACACAAATATGTATTCCTATATAATGTATTTTGTGTGACAATATCCCGGCAAGAAGCCCCTATTTACCTGGAGAGGAATGATCTCTATCAGTAATAGGCGGGTGGCAGTTAGTTAGGTGAAGCGAGCTGCTCTGCACAGTGGACCGTTTGAATTTGGCAGACCTGAGCAATCGAGCCAGAGCAACCGATCAGCCAATCAGCACTCTCCAAATCCATGATGCGGAAACGTGTGCGGCTAGCCAGCCTGGCCAGGTGATGACATCACAGTGCAAATCTACTGAGCATGCCCAGACAGGTGATGACATCACAGTGCAGGCTGCAGGGGAGTAAACAAGTGATTGACTTCTATCAGTCAGTCTATAGACTACGGAGCGAGGAGAGAGGTTGTGTGTTTTGTGTGTCCAGAGAGACTTTTATTCTTTGGAGATTGAATCGCAAAATGATGCGAATGATTACAGAAAACACATTTGTTCCCTCATTTAGCATCAGAGAGGAACCTGCAGAGAACAGACGGACATGGAAATTAAGCCCCACCCCAGCAGAGATTCTGCCCAGAATACCACCCCTGAGGGCAAGCGTCGGCCATTTTTTGGCCAGGTTGGGGCTTTTTTCCGCCATCTTTTCTGTCTTAAGACGAAGAAGAAGAAGACCAAGAAGAAGACGAAGAAAAAGAGGAGAGCAGTTGAGGATCCAGAAGGTAAGATTTATGATCTGTACAGCATACAAGCTGGCTGAACACGATCTGTTTTATATAGAGGAGTTACATTGTGTTACATTGTGCCGCTCCTGGTGAACACCCCCCCCCCCCCCCCCCCCCCCCCAATTATAGCAGAAATTTAAAAAAAAAACGGCTCTGGGTTACGCAGGTGTCAGGGCTGAGCCGCCCTTCACTGTGTAGCAACCAATCACAGCATTCCTATCATTTGTAAAAGGAGAGTCATTGTCAGTCACACTATCGCAGCACTG